GCAAGGGATATCTTTCTATTTTCTGATATCCTCTTCGATCTCCTTTTTCAGCATACTGTAGGGTTCAGTGTAGAGATCTTTTTCATTAGATTGATTTCTAAGTATTTCATTTTTTTCAGTGCTATTGTGAAAGGGGTTGTTTCCTTAATTTCTCTCTCAGTGAGTTTGTTATTTGTGTACAGGAATAATACTGATTTTTTAGTGTTGACTTTGTATCCACCTATGCCACTGGATTTGGTTATTAAATCTAGAAATCTTTTGGTGGAGTTTTTGGGGTCTTCTATATATAGAGAGCATTATGTCATCTATGAATAATGGTAATTTAACTTTTCCTTTCCTATCTTTATTCCTTTTATTTCTTTCTCTTATCTAATTGCTCTGGCTGATGTTTCCAGAACTATATTGAATAGGAATGGTGTCTTGGTTACTTTTCTCTCGTTGCTGGGACAAAATACCTGATGCCCAAAATTAAGGAAGGAAAGGTTTATTTCGCTTACAGTTTGTGGAGCTTTCAGTCCATACTTGGCAGGTTACAGGGCAGAGTGGCACATGGCAGAGGGCTACAGCTCATGGCAGCAGATCACAGCAAAGCAACAAACACAAAAAAGGGAGGAATGGAGGCAAGCAGCCACTTCCTCTCCCTTACATATGCAAACTATCCTCCCCAGGGCGGGTGCAGCTCTCACATCCATAATCAATCAAACTCTAAAAGCCTGCCCCATGACCGTATGAGGCTTTGGGGGGACACCCACACACAAACCATAACAAATGGTGAAAGCGGACATCCTTGTCTTATTCTTGATTTTACAGTGAAAGCTTTCAGCTTTTGGCCATTTAGTATATTGGCTGTTGGTTTGTCATAGATGGCTTTTTTTTTTTTTTTTTGGTCTTTTTTGAGACAGGGTCACATTATGCAGCTCATGCTGCTCTTGAACTCACTTTGCAGCCCAGGCTGGCCTCAAACTCGCAGTGATCCTCCTGCCTCAGCCTCCCGAGTGCTGGAATTATAGGCGCTGGCCACCGTGCCTGGCATAGCTGGCTTCTATCAGATTGAGATAAAGACCGTCTAGAGGGTAGTTGGTTATGAAGGTGCCATAGCTGACTCGCTGTTACAAAATGAGCAGTGGTTGAAAGGGTGGCCATCGGAGATGTGACCTGGAAAGGTGTCTCTCTCTCCCCTGCTCCTCCCTCTGCTCTCCGCTTGTTTGCCACCATGCGAGTAGCTTCTCTCTGCAGCAGGTCCCGCCATGCCGTTTTTGCCTTTGAGCTGGCTGACACTGGAATGAACCCAATGAAAGGAGCCCAAATAAACTCTCCTAAGCCTGGCATGGTGGCGCAGATCTGTAAACCCAGAATTTGAGAGGCTGAGGTAGGTGGATTGCGGCAGGTTCAAGGCCAGCCTGAACTACTTAGTGAAATCCTGTCTTTAAAAAAAACCAAACCAAATGAAAAACATCCCCCACCCACCAAGCAAAGTAAACCCCTCTTCTATTAAGTTGTGTTGGATATTTTGTCTCAGCAATGAGGAAAGTGACTAAGATACCAAATAATTTTTATGTTGCTCTCCTAGTTTGAGATCTAATCTAAGAGGGAATCCTGGCCAACATACAGGCAAATTTAGCATCTGTTACCTGGACTGGAAGTGTTCTTTGTTCAGTGTTATTGGTCAGCTTTCTGTCATGGTGACGAAGGACCTGTCGTAACTTACAAGGAGAAAAGGTCTACTTCGGCTCTTGGTTGCAGCCCATGGCCATTTGGCCGTGGTGCTTTTGGATCCGCAGTGAGGCAGGAGTGTATCGCAGTGGCTGAAGCACGTAGTGAATGCTGATTGGCTCACGGTGCCCAGGAAGCAAGGAACGGGGCTAAGGTTCACCCTTCAAGGACGTGCTCCCAGCCACCCCGCCACGCCCCACTTCCTAAAGTTTCCACCACTTCCCAGCAGTGCGGCAGCTGGGTACCACGCTTTCAATACGCGAGCTTCTGGCAGACAGTTGAGATCCAAACCATAAATATTCTTTCCTTTTTAATTATTTCATTCTTGCTGTTTCTGTCGTCACCCGGACTTCCTTTCTATCCAATCCAATCCAAATCAAATGCCTTCCGATACATCTTTTCCTTGATACATAATACCACCTTTGTGCTGGGGTCCACTGACTATCTTCTGTGAAGATATGGTAAATATTTAGAATCTGGCGGACCACCTGGTTCCAACCATTCAGCTCTGTAGCCTAGGCTGGCCTTGAACTCACAGCCATCCTCCTGCCTCAGCCCCCCAAGTGCTGGGATTACAAGCAGGTAGCACCATGCCTGGCCCATTACCTTCTTACTGAAGCATACAGTGTACGACTTTAGTTGGGGTTTATTGTCAGTGGAATACGGTTTTGAGGAGGTATGTAAAACAGTTTTTGTTTTCTTTTCCTTTACTAACCCAGAAAGCTTTACATCTATTATTATATGGTCTAAGATATTGCTGAGCAGGGAACAACTGCTTTTTAAATTTTAAGCCACAGTCTGTTGATTTTCTTTTTGCCTTGGAATACTTATTTAACACAATTTTAACTTTGAAATAATCACACTTACCAAAATTTACCAAATGCAATAATGTTTTCTTGACCCGAGTGAACTGTTGGATAGATAACCAATCACGCCCTAGGACTTCCAAGTTTATTTCCAACAGACAAGCGTTCCACGTCATCCCAGTTCAGCCATTCACACCAGGAAATTAATAGGTGTTACCATTTCACTCCCAGACCCTTTCAAGTTTCAACCAGTGTGACAATAATGTCCATTATAGAGCAAATTAGCACATTTCAAGAAGTTTCTAGCTGTAGCTCTAGGGCCTTCTCCAGGCCCTAAGTGGTAGACCTTGGCGTAATACACAAAGTACTGACTCAGCCAGCAGAGTACATTGTGGAGGCATGGCTACCTCCACTAGACTGCAGCCATGCCTCAGACAGCCTCAGAGGCTGAGGCAGAGAACCACCGAAGAATCAAGGGTCCTGTGATCACCAGCAATGCCTATTGCGGCCAGGGGTTGTGGATACCCGCAACCTTACAACTCCAGAGAAACCAGGGTGCAACTCCAGCCTGGGAGAGCTGCAGACTCGATTCCATGAGAGATGTGTGGGTTGCTCCCAGCAAACCCAAGTGCCCATGAGGGCCCAACTCCCACTTTAGTGTGTCTGGAAAGCAGACAATTATTCTGGAGCTAGTTTTAATGTTTGCCTTGCTGCATTGTACCTGCCCTACTCCTTTTTGAATGAGGTCTATCCTATGTCTATTCCATCATTGTACTTTGGAAGTCTAAAAATTGTTTGATTTCATAGGTTCACAACCAGAGAGCAATTTGTCTCAGGATGTACTATATCTTGAATATTACCTATATTTAATTTAGTTGTGACTCTGGACTTTAGATTCCTAAATTGGTACTGGGATGAGTTAAGACTTTTGGGATTATTAGTAATGAATTTTATTCTTGTATGAAGGGAGAACAGGAAATGTGGAGGTGTAGGCAGAATGCAGAATGCTATAGTCTGAATGTTTCTCCAAACGTATCAGTTGAAATGTAATCACCGGGGATTTAGCTCAGCAGCACAGCGCCTGCCTGGCAGGCGCTAGGTTGTGAGTTCGATCGCCGGTACCAGAAAAAAGCCAAAAAAAAAAAAAAAAGTAATCACCAATGTGATAGAATTAAGAGGCTGAGCCCTTAAGAGGTGTTTAAATCACAGGGGCAGAACCTCCATGAACAGGATGAACGCCCTTTTAAAAAGGCTGGGGGAACTTCCAGTCCTTGTTTGGTCTTCTACCCTGTATCAGAAGGCATCCATGTACCTTCAGGGTTTGAAAGAGGTCTGGGAGGAAGCTGAACCTTAAACTTTGGAAGGTCTTAGAAGGCAACTATGCAAATGAGGATCTCTCAGGCTTTTGTATCAGGGCTGCCTCTTTAAAGAGTGAAATGCTTAGACCTGAGGCTTGGCACAAAGCAGGCATACAAAACATATTCATCAGCTTTCTGTCATTATAATGAAAGACTTAATTAGTTTTTTTGTTTGTTTTTCTTCTGGTACCAGGAATCGAACTCACGACCTTGCACTTGCCAGGCAGGCGCTGTGCCGCTGAGCTAAATCCCTAGCCCTAGTTTATAAAGAAAAGGTTTATACTGGGTGTTGTGCCACAGGCCTGTAACCAACCCTAGCACTTGGGAGGCAGAAGCAGGAGGATAGTGAGTTTGAGGCCAGTTTGGGCTGTACAGCAAGTTCACAGTGAGTTCTGGGTCAACTTGGACTACTTAGTAAAGTCCTGTCTCAAAAAACAAACAAACAAACAAAACAAAAAACCACAAAAACAAAACTCTCTACAAAAAAACAACCAAACAAAAAACACAGGTTTTTTTGGCTTATGGTTTTGAGGTTTCGGTCCATGATCTATTGGCCCCGCTGCTTTGGGCCTACGGTGAGGCAGCGCATTGTTATCATGATGGGCACCAAGAGGTAGAGAACAAAACTGCTCAACATCAAAGAGCAAAAAAGGAGAAAGAAGGGACCAAGGCCCCACAATCTCCTTCAACCCCACACCTCCAGTGACCTAAGTACCTCCTGCCAGGCCCTACCTCCCGAAGGTTCTACCATACCTCCCAACAGTGTCACCTTGGGGACCAAGCCTTTGACATCTGATTAGCAACTGGATGCTACCTTGGACATTTAGCATCCAATTTAAAGCAATTTAAGATAGCCAGGTGCAGTGGTGCGTGCCTGTAGTCCCTGCTACTGGGGAGGCTGAGGCAGGAGGACTGCTTGTGCCCAGGAGTTCAATGACAATCTATAGACAACTGAGCTAGATTGTCTCAAAAAATACTAACGAACAGTACTACATCCAGCCTCTCTCTGTATTTGGTACTCAACAAATCTATTAAATACCACTGAGCAATGATTTGTCCCATCCTAGAAAAGAGGTTCTAATGCAGTTTTGTGATTCAGCCAATGATGACACAGACTACAATATGGCCTTATCTTTTTAATTGACTTTAATGATTATTGCTCATCTGCAAGGATTAATATTGCATTCATTAAAAATCATTTAATACAAAATGAACTTTTTCCTCCCAAGTTGCTCTCCACATACTCCCTCTGATGCCAGACGTTTTCTGGTGTCCTTTGTTACATGGCTTGACAGAGACGGAGCCCTTACCTATGATTCCTATGGACACACTAACAGATACAGGACCAGAGGGCCGACCAGAGGGCAGCAGGACGTGGGCCCCTTTTTCCGGCAGAGGTGCCCCATAGATACACTGTTGGCCAGGTTATCTCCCCTAACAGATGTGGTGTTCTGATTGGCTGGTTAAGTGCCTTAGGAAAAAGGGCTTCAATTGTTAGCATCTACAGAGAAGAAAGCACGGTCATACTGGCGAGGAGTAGAGACCGGGTGGGGAGAAACAGAGAAAAGGGCGAAAAAAGTTTTGGCAAGATAGTTGTCCCCTGCTGGAAAGCTGCAGGGTAAAAGCTCTCCTTTCTTGTATTTCTGCTTTTAATGTCTGTTTCTCTGATCAGTGGAAAGAGAAGTGAAAATGTCTAGAATCTAGCACTAATGCATGATCCAGATTTGAAGGATCACAAGCTAGAACAAGTTGAGGATTTGGAATCCTGGATAATTATACACTTAAAGCTCACGAGCATAAAGCTCATCTGCCCATGCAGAAATGCTATAAGCAGGGTGCATGGCATGGGACTACATCTCTCTGATCTTTGAGAGCGCCTCTCTGGGGATTCTTTTGGAGTATGAGTCAAGATGTACTGACTCCTTTCTCTACACACAAACTGCCCTTTAAGATCTTAGTTAATAAACTTTTTTGGTGGTATGTATCAATCTAAAGAGGTACCACTTCTGTAAAAATCACGCTATGCAGGGCCTACAGTCCCAGGCAAGTTCTATGGAGTTAGATTTATTTCACCAGGGCCCAGTTTATGGTTCTTCCTCCCATCCACACCTACCTCCCTCTAAATATTTTAGGGTGCGGAAGCACAGCTGATCAGAACTTTGCTTTTAAAGGATAAAACCTAGATAGAGCTCAGTGTTTTATATGGAGTAATGGCTCAAGAAATTTGCCTTCAGCATAAGCTGTATGGGGCAGAGCTGAGAGAATTTGCTTATGGCTCCAGTTTGTTGATGCTACAAACTAAGGACTAGAAACACACGGATTCATTCAGAGTTTGAGACTAGGATTTCTCTAGACTCAAGCTGCGCTCTTAGCTCCAAAGGTTCAAACGAGAAATTGGTAACAACTAGCCACTCAAGCAGTTCCTCAGTGTTAACACTAAAAATTTTTCTTAAGTTTTTAAAAAATACAACAGAAATAAATGCTAGGGTACAAAACTCAACTTGATAGAATGCACTCTAGTTAAAAACTAGAAAAGTGAGAGAGTGGTGGGAGTGGAGGAAGGGTTGGACTATAAATCCAAGTGGGTCTACTGGATCTTAACAAGCAACACTCACTAGTACACGTCTCTGAACCAGACATACCACCTTTACACAGGAAACAGGGCTTGGAATTCCTAAGGGAAATTAACATGCACCAGCTACACTTCACCTACCTCGTTGGTAGGTGCCATCCCTGCTCCTCTGAAGAAGTGAAAGAGCACTGATTTTAGCAGCTAAGAAATGGGCTCCTTTAAGGCAATTTAGACACTGCAGATTGTTCACCTAGAAGGTACCTTAGCATATCCTGTTAATAAGGTACAAAATTAAGACTAAAATCTCCAGAAATGGTAAAGAATGAATCACCTTTCTGGGCCTGGACAGTGAAATCCTTCTTTAGTGATTAGGGTGAGGAACCTTAAACCTCAGTTTCATCTAAAGAGCCATGAAGCAAGTTCCTGTGCGGTCTGCAGAACTCAAATAATGTGATGAGAAAATGAGAATGAAATTATAGAAAAAAAAATCAAGAGGAAAGAAATAAAAAGAAAATAAAAGTTATCTTTAAAAATACGTCTTTTAGAGTCATGTGGTTCACATGGACTGATCGTTGGTAATATGGTCCATTAGTATCTGTAAAGAAAGAGATGAATTGGTTACCATTTATGTTTTCCATATGAGAGCTCCAAGAAAGAATCAGAAACAATACCATCTCCTGGCCCAGGGACCCCTGTAGTCAATCCTCAGGGCATCATTTGTTCCTGTTCTTCTACGGGACCCCTGCTAGGGCCACTTCTGCTACTGTCTGCTCTCTGATAATATATGTCAGTGGTTTTGAACTATATTAGCAACAGACTGGGGAGCTTCTACAAAGTAATTGCCTGGGGCTCATCCTAAATCAAGTACATCAGAATCTCTGGGATGAGGCCTAAATTCTGCAAATTCAAAATACTTCTCTATATCTACCACTAAATGTAAAATATGCAAATTTTTCTCTGTATCCTCTTTTTTTTTTTTTTTTTTTTGGTGGTGGTACTGGAGATTAAACCCAAGGCCTCATGCATGCTAGGCAAGCGCTCTTATCACTAAGGTATACCTCCAGTCTGGCCCGTTAATTTGGAGTAGAATCGTTACACTCTTCAAAATCAGGCCTAGCACCTGAAGAAAGCAAGCTAGGTAGGGTGGCTGGTTTAATACTGGGGAAGAAAGCTTTTCACTGGTTTTCTCCAAATTACCTATAATAATTAGGTTTGAATGGCCCGTTTTTGTTGAGTCCCAGGTATTTTGCTTGGTCATCTGTTAGCTCTGTCAAGTGGGCATCAAATGATGGCAGATGCAAGCTGGCAACATATTCATCTAGAAAAGTAAAGAGACAGGAGTGTCACACACACCTCTCCGGGTACCCACTCCCTCAACTTCATTTGCAGCTGTTTGAGAAAGAAGACAAGGATGCAGTAACTTCGAAAGAACCCACAACTTGAAATATTTATAAATTTAAAAAGTCCTGAAAGCTACATTTCTGGCAGGGCACGTCTCTCAGTACCACCCAAATGCACACAGAAAGCCACTTACCAGAGAGACAAAATGCTGCAGACTCACACCTCTCTACCCTTCACTGGTAAAAGTTTTGGCCTCACCTCAGCAGCCAACATGTCATCTCTACTCCCACCTTCCTGCAGCAACCTCCTTAACTAGATTAAATTATAATCCAATTACAAACCAAAGCGGATGCCAGAAAGCTCAAGAGAGTTCTGTGTCATTAGCATTTATTTAAGATAAGATCTATAAAGGCAATGAATCTCAGGACCATGGACTTCTAATGTAACTGGTACAAATTTACTGCTTTTCCCCAGTAAATTTCTCTCACTTTTATGAATTTAAAAAAAACCCAATCTGAGGTAAGCTGCTGCAGGGGACCCAAGCAAGACTTTTTTTAGCTTTCGTTCAGGCATCTGGGCTGCCTACAGGAGATGGGAGGGGGTCACAGCGGCACAGAAAGGACAGAGATGCATTGCATCACGCGAACTAAGCTGTCCCCTAGAAGCTGCACAGGAGGTGATCTGCCAAGTGAGACAGAGGTTGGACAAGAAAACTCGCTTCTGTTTCTCTCATTTGGCTACAGGCTAGAAGATTACTCAGTTTCTTAAAGCTATGTGACAATAACAGCAACCACTTTAAACCACTGCACTTAGCACTGTAACTCTTTAGCTGTAATCCTTACAACCTGCAATGTTTATATATGGTATTATTTTTACTTTACTGATAAAAGAATCAGAGATTCATGGCTATTAAATCTGTCCTAAGGTCAAACAACTAGTAAACACTAGTAGAAAAATCAGAAGTCTGACTCTAAATCTGGTGTTCTTTGTGACAGTCATTTTACCAAAGAATGTAGCCATCTAGGGATCAATGCAGGTTTCCTGTTTTTCACTCACCCATTTTCTTGGGAAGCAAGTATACATCCTGTTTGTATCGTCCTTCAGGTGCATTATACAGTTCTATCAGTGCCAAAGCCTAAAGCGGGAAAAAGGGGCCAGGAAATAAAAACACTTCTTAGGAACATAAAAATAAAGTTTAACAGTGACTTGGGACAAATACTACACTGATCTGTCATCACGACAGCATCGAGGACTCTGCTTGTATTAAAGGCCAGCACACATCGTAAGAAGATTTGCTAGTGTTTTTGTTTAGTTCCTGACAAAAAAACAAGCTAAACACAGTTAGGCTGGAACACTAGACTCAACTGAACAGACAGTTCAGACACACATACACTGACTAATGACTCTTTTCTTTAACTGAGCAAACCTAAGCCTCTGCAACTTAGGATATGCAGAAAAGAGTATGTTGGTAAGTATGCACCACAGCATACCCTCAGGACTCTGATCTATGCATGCCTGGTGCCATGAGTAACAGCGAAGGAAAAGCAGACCTGCTGCTGCATACCTGTGTCGTAGCTGTGATGGACAGAACAAAGGTGGGAACTGTGGAGCAGCTCAAATTGAGCAGACGACCCTAGATAGGTAAGAGAGAATCCTGGGATGAACTGCTGTCCCTCTTGGCTCCCAGAGAAATACAAGTCAAGTAAATGCACGAAAGGACTTCATACCCCTCTATACTCAGTTGGAAGAGGAGGAATTACACTTCCAGATTGGGACTCTGGCTTTTATCCTATTTTCTGCAAATCCGTCTGAGTGTGAAAGGATGAAAACCAGCTATGGTCAGGAAATAATATGTTACTTAGCAAAAAAAAGGTAAGTTTTTGGATGCTTTCTATTCTGTGGTTGAAGCCGTTTGAGAAATGTCCTTCTATCCTAAGATAGAATTCAGGCAAACACAGGCCCAATATTTTTCCCCTGCCTCCCCTCCTTCTGTGGATCCAACTACACAGCTTGCACTGCTCTGCCACAGTCTGCTGTGTACCTCCGCCAGGAGGACGACACGCTTGCCGTCTGGCCAGATGACATGGTCCACCTGAGAACGTACTCGCTCCCACGTCAGCTCTGGGGTACGGAGGCTGGTCTGAAAGGAAAAAGGCACAACTGACTATGGCTATAGTGGAAGACAGGAAAAAGAACTAGCGACAACTGACGGAAGCCTCACCACATCAATTTCTGTGTTGGAGTGGCCCATATTGCATACGATGCAACTGTTTTTCATGCGGTCCAAGTGCTCCCGCGTCACTACATTTTTATTTCCTAAAAATAAAAATGGGTGGCTGAGAGGAGAGATGCTGGGGAACAAAGGTACTGACCGTTTCCAGTCAGGACACAGGAGGAAATCTGCTGGCATTAAAGAGCTTGTACACAAAAGAAGTACACAGAGCTGCGGATCATCGACAGCCTTGACAGGGCCTACGTGCAGCTGACGTAGGAGCTGTCTGAGGCAATAAAGCCCAGGGGACAGGCCAAGCCTGAGGGCTCCAGGTAGGGTCTGGCCAGGTGCAGGCGGACATATGGTGGCTCTGCCCCTTGGCAGGGGGAGGCACCTTCCTCACGCACCATGCTGAGGACCCTGCGGTACCCCACCCTCCTCCCTGGACCTTCCATCGCCACTTCTGCTCGGGGGAAAAATGACAATATAAAAATTTACCCTGGGAAAAAAGGGGTCTCCCTCTGGAAAATATGTTATGGTTCTGACAGTTTACTGCAGGTCTGAGGCTTTATACTGAGCACAGGCTTATACTGTTTGAAATATAGGTCACTTTTGGGATTTAGCCTTGAAGTTAGCACCAAAGCATGACACATACCTGTGCAAGTTATGACAACATCAACTTGCCGGATGACTTCGTTTAGTTTTACCACTCTGAACCCATCCATGCTGGAAGAAGAAAGATACACTATGAGCAAAGCAGGGAGGCAGTGTGAAGGATGCTGGTCACAAAGTGAGACACTCCTCTGAAGTCAGAGTCAGTGCTATTTCCCAGGAATGCTAGTGATAGGCTTGCTAAACTATACACACACACTGGCTTCTGCAGAGCCCTAAGACTCATCTAGGAAGAGAAAATGCCAGGCTAGGAGAACCCAGGATTAGAGTGAAGCGGATAGAGTAATACAAGTCTTCTCATTCCTTGGACAATTTCAACAAAAAGTGATTAATACAATCAATCATGAAATACAAAGAATCTCAGAAATATAAGTATCCGGAGTGAATATAATAGTATTATCATCACTCTGTTCTTACCAGGCCTGGAGAGCACAGATGGGATCAATTTCTGTGATGTAGACAATTGCTCCAAGGGCCTTGAGAGCAGCACAGCAGCCCTTCCCTACCTGCCAATCGTAAGAACGGTCAGGTTACCAGGTTGATGTAAAGCATGTACGGTGGAAGAGTGAGGCTCTTGGGGAAGATAGGAATTGACACTCCTGACATCACCAGTCACCTGGTGAGCACTTCCAGGGAGGCTCCAACCCCAAGCAGCAAACAGATCTGATCACATTTTGAACTTTACTTGGGTGGGTAACTTAGCAGATGTGTCACAGCAAGGGTGGGGCTTTGGATAACTGCTATCATTAGGAAAACAAGACCAAAGCAAAAGCAATTGTGACCTCTAATTTCTTATTCTAGAAAAAGCTGGTAATTCTCACTTGTATCTATTCAAGGACAGCCCAGCAGCTCAAGAATTTCTGTGGGCTACTGCTGGAAGATAATAAATATGTAACTCACTCTGGTTTAGAGATATCCAGCCACATGCCACTTCCCTTTCCTGCGTGCCATGTGTGGGGCTAAAATCCTATATATTCCCTTGAATTACATCCCATAGATGGCTACTGTTATAATTAAGAGGAAAGTGATGCTGACATTTCATTTCACAAGACAAACTGGTGAAATTGGAAAACTGAATTCTCAGTTCATTTTGTATGTCTCTATTCATGAGTCCGAAGAAGATTTTTGCTATTATTTTGAGGTACATTGTCTAAAAACACACTGTGACACTGCATCAGTGGCGCACACCACCCAATATTCCTTTTTTCATCCATCAAGTATCTCTAAAATGTCTATGAAGGGACAGAGACACTGGGGCTCAGCTATTTACCTCACCATAGCCACACACCACCACTTGTTTCCCACCAAACATCACATCTGTGGTCCTCTTCAGGCTGTGGAAACAGATAAGGGCTCAACTCAAAGCTCAACTCAGTCCCTCTGCAAAAAGTTAAAGTGAGGTTTTTAAAGCCAAAAAGAAGACCAGGAGACAAGACTGCAGTGATACCAGACTAACACTGAAACCCAGTCTGGCTCTAACCCCTTTAAATTTGAATGTATGTACACTTCAACCTACCCATCCAAAATGGATTCTCGGCAGCAGTACAAGTTATCAAACTTCTGTTTGGTAACAGAGTCGTTGACATTCATTGCCGGAACACAGAGCTTCCCAGCTTTGGAGAGTTGATATAGCCTAAAGGGACAAGAGGTCACAAAAACAAATAAAAACCAAGTGAGCTGGAAAAACATAATACATGGCAAAACCAGTCCCATTCTTTTCAAATTCTATGCTGCCCTCCCCAGTCTTTATTACTGCCCAAGGACATTGGTAAACATCATTATTTCCTTGTCATCTCTCCTGACTTTTTTATTTTCTTTACCCTCTACCTTTTAATTTTGGAAGGAAAATAAAAAACCTTTCAGTTGAAGAAATTTACTTCTATTTCATAAAGGGGATATTATATCCTTAGGCCAGCATTTCTTCATCTTTAAAACCATGCCCAGTTCTCATAAAGGAATTCTGATTTGGTGTGTGTGACCAGGTAAACATGTGCAATGCACCCCCTAGTTGAGAAATACTTCCAGGTATATTTTAGGTATTTTCATCGAGCCAAGACTATTTTGCACAGTTTCACTTTTTGTATAAAACGTATAGTTTTACAGGCTTTTCATATTTCAAATACAAAATTATAACACAATATTGAGTATGGTTTTTCAAGATAACATTCATTCCTTACTCCCTTGGCCCAAAACACTAGTTGAGAATTACTCAGTGAAGTAAATACGAGACAACATGTCAACTAGAACCTGAAAACTTTCTTCTAGCATCACCTTAATTTTTCAAAAGTAAAAACTCAGATTTATCTAATGAAGATATTCCCATGAAGTTACTGCACATCTGAGACACAGCCCTAAAGCCTATTAGAGACCAGAAGAATTTGCTGAGGCAAGGACACAAGGGGCAGCTACTCCAGAATCTGTTACCTGTGAACACCAGTCACGCTCTCTTCCACAATGCCTCGGATCTTCTTAAACACGTTTGGATACTTCTTATAAACCCAGTGGGTTAAGTCTCCCCCATCATCCAGGATCTACAGAACAGCCAGAAGACTTCTATGGGCATTCAGGCTGCTAGAGCTGGGGGGAACTTCGAGCCCACTTTCTGTCCTAGTAAGAGAGCCCTGGGTGTTTTGGAAGAGCATTCCTTAGAGCTCCTTAGAACAGGCTTGGACAGTGGAAATACAGTCAAATTTGCTCGTGTAAAGTGGTTAAAATGATTCCTAGGTTTGCTCGAGGCTATCATGAAGAGTGTTAGGCTAGTTGCAGACTCATTTTTTAGTCTAGAGTCTGGAAATATATAGCCCTTTTGCAAAAAACGAGAGCTGGGGCAGGAAGGAAAGAAACCAGATTCTTACTCCACAGAGGGATCACATCATTTCCTTCTATTTCATTTTGCTGTGTCTGAGCCACATGTTCAGCTAATATTACCCTTCCCCCACCTTTCCACTCGGTACTCAGACCCATTCTTTTTTTTTTTTTTTTTTCGTGCTGGGGATAAAATCCAGGGCCTTGCACATCTCTGGCCCATTCTGAATAGGTTTCGAGCTAAACATCTGGCAACAAAGTCAGTGTTTAAGACCAAACATCCAAACATATTTAGGGAACCATGCGTCAGTGGAAAAAAGGAAATAAATCTATAGTCAGAAATGTAAGATGGACATGCATTATTACCATGTTGGCCTGCCACCCATCCATGTTCACACAGCGGTCAATGCACCACCAGAAATCATCTTCCGACTCCCCCTTCCACGCGAACACTGCAACTCCTACAGAGACAGAAATAAATTAGCTACTTCTTCCTATGAGGAGTGTCCTATACCGGTAACAATTTCTGAGATCCATGTGGAGAGAAAAGGGCAACACAGACTATTCGAGAGAGGGAAAAACTTAAATGTTTCTTCTCACTGGGCCAACTTTATACTTTGAACTCTGTTATAAGGAGATAAAATGAAGGGGGATCAAGACAAAGTTGTTCTCTGGAGCATCATCATTATCATTATTATTATTATTTTGGAATTTTTTGAGACAGGATCTCACTGTGTAGTTTAGGCTGGGATAAAACTCACTATGTAGCCAAGGCTGGCCTCAAACTTGCAGCGATCCTCCAGCCTCAGCCTCCCAAGTGCTGGGATTACAGGTGTGCATCACTATACCTGGCTGTAGCATTATATGAACAAACATCTTGAAACAACCTAACGTTCAGTATTAGGAAAATAATAAAGTCAAATCACATGACCATACTGAATGAGCCGTACAAATGACGCTGTCAGTTCTCAGTGATATAAAAGGTGACTCCCGAAATACTGACAAGCTGTGTTAATTAATGACTGTTCAGACTTACAACCAAGGCGCACTGTTTGCACTTATGACCCACGACTCAGATTTATGATTCATCTTTTTTCTGGTACAGTTCTGTATCTCTTGTTTATAAAGCCCCGATGTCTTTTTTTTGTAGAATATACCTTATATATACAGTAGTATAACGTTTGCTGACTGTACTGTATAGTACAGTACTATAGTTTTACGTTCTGTTGTACATTACAATACTGCATGTAAGAGTTATGCAACTGAAAGCAAAGTTATCAAGTTGGAGTTTCCTTTGACCATTTCCTTGTTCTGAATATCATACTGTACATACTCCATACAATTCTTCATTTAGTGACCAGTTCATTTAATGACTTAGTCACAGGGGCGGAACTCTGTCATTACAGGAGGAATGTTTGTATGTTAAGAGTATCTACATACTAAGATTTATTTCATCAATGCAGAACAGAAAAAAGGGAAAAATTCATCAGTTCTGTGTAATGGGATTATAAATTTTTTGAACTTCCTAAATTTTCTACAATAATCACCAGAAAAGAACAAGCAAGAAAGATAAAAAGCATTACTATATGTTACTTTCTGAAAATCTGAGGAAGATGAGTTTCTTTTTTTAAAGAAACTCCACGTTGACTTTCTCCTAACAGGTTAGCAATGCAAATTATTTCATATCCCATTAAACTTACCAGTAGTTCATACATTTTCAGTGGCGTATTATCAGCATAAAAGGTATTGCTTACTTATGTTCTCTCAAAATTGATGAGACTTGATGAAAACAAATGAGGTTAATTCAGGCACTTTAATATTCTTCTTTGTTCATTTAACATTAGAATTGGGCATTTCCACATGTCCCTGAATTCTTTTCAAACGTTTATTTTTAACGACTACATAATACTCCATCATGGATATAGACTTGATTTTATTATCCATTTTCTTCCTGCAAAATTTTTAATATCACTCAAATTTTATAGTCCCTAGACAGACATGGTATTGTAATGACAATTTGGATACATTAAAAACTATGTTTAGGTCATTCATTTCAGGAAAATGTAGTGAAAAACTCAACTTACCAGCCTCAGCCAGTGCTGCAGCCACTTCATTCTGAGTTGAGTAGATGTTGCAAGCAGACCAGCGGCATTGAGCCCCCAGGGCACACAGTGTCTCAATCAACACCTGTGTGGATGTGTAGGACACAGGGTAAGAAGGGCAAGGGGAAACTCGGTCAAGCACAGCATCCAGAACTCTGCAGCAATAGGTGCTAACTAGGGCATTATAAAAGGGCACAGTCCAGTTGGGCATGGTGGTGGACACCTGTAATCCCAGTGTTCTGTGAAGCTGAGGCAGAAGGACTACAAATTCAAGCCCGGCCTGGACAATTTAGCAAGACCTTGTCTCAAAAGAAAACAATTTTAAAAGAGCTGGGGATGTAGCATAGCGTGAAGGCCCCAGGTTCAATCTTTAGTACCACATATACAGATAAATAAAGGGGTATAACCAAGCAGAGTGGCACACTGATATTGATATTTACACCCAGAGTCTTAATAACATTTTTATAACAATACTTCAAATCTTCCTATACAGGTTTGCTGAGAGATCCCACTATATTGTGGGAGATCCCATAAGGATTCCATTTAATATTTAGGACTCAGAAGGTAGCTAGATTGCAGGGGAAAAACCTGTTTTTGCTTCTCTTTATCAGAAATCCCGGGGTCTGGGGATTTAACTCAGCGGCAAAGCACCTGCCTGGCAAGCGCAAGGTCGTGAGTTCGGTTCCTGGTACCGGAGAAAAACCAAAAAAAAAAAAAAAAAAAAAAGAAATCCCTCTACTTTCTTCCAACAAACTCACCGCTGTCTGGGCTGTGATGTGTGTACAGCCCACTATTTTAGCACCAGCCAAGGGCTTCTCCCCCTGAGCACGTTTCCTGAGTGAAATCAGAGCAGACATGTCTGTGAAAGAACAGAGGATTTGAGCCAGGTCTGCACTAGCAACAGCATCCATTCCTGCCCACCCACAGCCAGGGCTGGACTGGGTCTGTACGGTGAAAAGACGCAGGAAAACTAAGCACATTTCTTTGATGACCGGCAGCTTCAGCAGCAGAGTCACAGTGGAGAGCGGTCATGGAACCACTTGGCATTTTTCTCTTTCTTTTCTGTCTGCTTTATGTGCAGAGGACTGAACAGGGAAGGAAGTTCTCAAAACTGACCCAGAGCGGGGGTAAGTCTCACCAGTCATTTGGGAAGAGAGGGAAATAGTCAACAACACTGGCTAATGCACTTTCGTACACAACCATCAGGCCAGGAAGAACTTTAGTCTCAGTGGAAGCCATGCACTTCCGTTCTTCTTTGCTGTCTCACCCTACCGCGTCATTCTGTGTGTTTCTCTACCCATGCTCAGTACGCAGCATGCCTCCAACATGAAGACAACAAGAGTAAAGAGACCTTCCAGGCAGTGAGGTGCCACAGAGGAATTAAGAGTTAACTCACTGCCAGCAGTTTTTACTCTGTCCTAGCAGAGGGTGCTCAGGACCAAACAAGACCCTAGGTTACCACATCCCTAGCTTAGAACCTTCCCACATCAGCTGCTTCTGGGAATCCAGGCCTCTGGGGTTGGCATTTTCAGTAAGATCCCACATAATTAACCACTATGTAGTAATCCAGGACTTGCTGACTCTGCATTGTAGATCTCTGAAAACGGTGTCATGGGGAGAAAACCAGAAAATACTCTGTGTAATTACCACATGCTGAGGACAGGAAGACAAGACAACAAGAGCAGGATCCTGAGGCTCAAGCCCCACACAGAGAAGCATTTATCGGAAAGCCCAGGAAACTGTCTTTTCCCAGGACACTTCCACGTCAGCTCTCAGGCCTTAAGCAGTCTTTGGATCCTCATGATTGGTAAAGAGAGCTGCTTCTAGTCTTCTGCACAACCCCTTTCTTTACCTTGCTCTGCAATCTCAATCTCCCGTCGTCCGAATTCTGCTTGCTTGATGTTCTTCACACAAAAATTGCTGCTGCCCTTGGAGTTGGTTTGCTGCTTCTCTCGGGGGGAAACCTCATCATCAGAGCTATCTGTGTAGGACGCAGCTAGAGCCAGTGAAGAGAAAAACACGGACAGATAAACCAGCCTCGACGGCCCCATCTCCCACCTCCACACAGTCCCACTCCTGAGGGCTGTCATTTAAGTGAAGTGAACATTTTTCATTGGAGCTCTTTTACATCACTCTCACTTCGATCCCTCCAGGTTCTAAGAGCTGGTGTGAACGAAACAGCTGTGGATCCCTCAGCATTGTGTTTTTACCCACTCTAACAAAACTGTGCTGTTAGTTCTGTGAAAAGGAGCCATGGTCCCTAACCCTGCACCACCTATACTAATCCCAGATAATGGAAGTACTTGGTCCCAACCTGGATTTGAACCAGACCTGACAAAAATGGAAAAATAACTTCAGGGAAATAAGGAATGCTGTTTCTATAGAGCACTGTTTTTCACACTTAGTAAGCATCTGTCAGAAGCCCATGGAAGGTTTTTAAAAAAGAGTGCGAGGCCTCAGAGCCAAGGGGTCCCACTTGGGGGTCTTAAGATGTCTGAGAACTGCCATCTCCAGCAAGTTCCCACGTGCAGCGGGCCAGAAGACTATACTCTGAGAACTACTGACATGGATCCAAGGGAGGAGTCTCACAAAGGCGTCTGACACTGTGTTGTGCTTAAGGAACACAGAGAAGGAATTACGACACGGAAAGCGAGCAGATCTGATTCTGCTGCTAGCCTTGGGTAAGTCTGTCAAGAGGACTGACTTTAAATAACAGTTGTACACAAAACCTAAATATATCCTTCAGATAGGTTGTAGGAAGATATACAATTACTCTTTTACCTCTCAAGTCACTTCTTTCCTCTCTGAAATGAGTGTTCCTCACCACTGTTTCCGCCAGTACATTAAGACCCTCTCACTGACTTCTATACATAGGTGCTCGAAAGGACAGAAATCCAGGTAACACAAATACCACTAAAGGTTATTTCCTCGATTGTGACAATTTAACTCTGTCAGAAAGCTGTTTAAAAATGCTCTCATAGGTTTCTATAACACGACCATCCAGATCTCTGAAGACTTCTTCACTCATTCCAGCTTCTTCTTATGACTCAAATTTTTCAAAATTAGTTTTTCTTCTGTCTCAGCTATAATTAGACTGCTGGTTACCGATCACCTTTTTATCTGTCACAAGATATTTTTCATTTATAATAGCCATTATATTTAGAGCTGCTTCTTGAATACATGCCACGAGTAAATCCATATATTCATTTATTTCAGTAGCTAATCCTGTATACCTCTGTTTGTTCTTGTCTGCCCATGTGTCTATACAGGCTTATCAGGGGCACAAGGCAGAGGTAAACTTATTATTTATTTATTTGGTTTTCATTCCTTACACCTCAAGCACAGCTTTCAGCGTAACAACACAATGTGAACAATACTGTGGCAACAGACAATCAGTGGCTTTTGGTACAAGCAAATCTCTTTGCTGACGTTAACAGCAGCCTGTGACCTTGGGCGTGCTTTTTAATCTTCTAACAACGAACCTGCAGTTGAGGAGTTCTATTGGATGCTCCTAATGTTTCCTCCTCTGACCAATTCTAAGGTTCAATATCCACTTTCGTATTTTTTTCCTAATAACCTCTCTGCACAATTCTATCAGAAAAAGACTACTTATTGTAGACAGCTAAGACTGAAAATAAACAGTTCTGGAGTCACCATGTAATAGTCCGCATTCTTCCCACTGCAGAGGTTAACAGGGAGAACATGTCAACATAAAGGGAAATCTAGTAAATAAAAAGGAGTCAGAATACTAATTTTTATTATTCTAATTCAAGCAACCTTGGGGACAAGAAAGAAAAAGATAGCTGGCAGAGTGTATTTTATACAAAGAAATCACGCTTCAAAGTATACTTCCTTATCAAGGCCAGGTCTGTCGGCTAAAATACCACCGAGTCTCTCCCTTTGAGATGTGAGTAGGTAAGCGTGGGGGTTGGAATTAGCCCAGCACCACCAACTGGGTACTGGCCATAGACCACACACAGGGACAGCCAAGGGAAGAATGTCTCAAGATGACAAAAGCTTTCCTAGCTTCAAGCCTGGCTGCACACGTTCCCACTGCCCAACCACTAATTAATAGCTGACAGCCAGTTTTGATATGAGCTATTTTCAGTTTCCAGTGAAGAGTACTGGGTGGTGAACAGCAGGAGACCATAGAGGACATGAAGCTCACAGTACCTGAACTGTAGCTGTCAGTAGAAGACTGCGAGATGGAACGTGACAAAGATCTTCGGCCAGTCTTGGTAGGGAACTTTGTGAACTCCTGCATGTCATCAGCAAACTGGATTTGCTGAAAGAGAAAGACAAGAAATTGAAAATTTCCAACAGGGAGTTCTAGGAATATTCCATTCTTAAGGCCATCATCTTCCTTAAAAGCCAACATATATGGCTTCTACTTAGCCAGTAAGTCTCCCACCAGAAATGAGGGAAGCTGGAGGTTGCTCTCAGACTTCTGAATGCTAGTTACTCCCTCTTTCCATCCAACTGTTGCAGCAGAAATTGAGGCTGGGAACGGGGAGCTTAAGAGCCAACTTCTTTTAGCATTTAACCAATTTTACAAGTCTTTTTTCCTTTCCATTGCATTAAATTTTCCTCCCTCTTTAACCTTGATACATTAAATTCTTTACCTTTTGTCCCAATGCCATTAGAAAAAAGATATGGTTTCACAGTGCTCCCAATTTGTCTTCCCTGAACATTTTCTTGTAGCACCTTCTTATTCTGAAGTTTGCAGTGTTTTTGCTTTTTGAAAGATTTATGAAGCAAGGCCTAGAAATGGTGATGGGCATTATGGTGCCACATTTAGGGCCCCGTCGTATGTCTGTGCTTCAAAAAACCAATGTAATGTCCCCAGAACTTTCCATACCCAGTAAAAATTTAAAATACCAGAATATACTGATGGAAGGTAAATTTTAAAAACATATACACCACAGTAAATTCTAACTAATTAGGATGAACTTGAAGGAAGAAAATAATGACTTTGGTAAATTCTGTATTAAAAATTTCCTTAAATGAAATAAATCCAAACTAGACATCTGAAGGATATTTGGAAGACCACCTTTAATTAATACACAGCAAACAGCTTTCAATTGATATTAGTTATAGACAAATTAATGGATGGTTCTAAAATATATGACACACTAGGGGCTGGGGATTTAGCTCAGCGGCAAAAAGCGCCTGCCTGGCAAGCGCAAGGTCGTGAGTTTGGTTCCCGGTACCGGAGAAAAAAAACAAAAACAAAAACAAAAACAAAAAATAAAATATATGACACACTCTATTTTATTATGTAGTTTAAATCTTCCTCGTGAACTCCTGTTTAATCTCTAATAAGTTCTTCCTTCAAAATCTAAAATAAACTTCACTTTCCTGAAATAAACAGGATGGGTTGAGAATCTGAACTGAGATTCTTCCCACAATCTGACTAACTCTGCAGAAGTTCCCATGGAGAATCCATTAAACTAAGCCTTAGCAAGTATCTTTGGAAATGTACAATATTACAGATTAAAATCTTTGCATAATGGAAGCAACATGGTTGTAGCCACTTTCAAACCAGAACAGTAAACTACACATTACAGTTGCACAACCTTCCCTTCTTCTGCAACAAGTACTCTTCAGCAGGGGTGGTACCAGCCTGTAGGGTAAGGATCAAGCTTGAATGTGCAACCAGGCACTGGAAGCTAACATAAACAAACCAAACACTGAATTGGTAGGACTCCACAGGTCATAAAGCAGTCCTCAGGGAACTCTGGCTTGTACTTTCAGCTCTAGCCTGTATGGTTCACATTAAGAATAAAAGCAGAGAATGCAGTCGAGCAGCAGGCCCCAAAGAAAAACCTGGGCCTACTTATATTTAAAACTCATCTTTGTTCAATATCTAGCTAGGCAAGTTTTTTTTCTTTTTTTTAGGTTACTCTGTGAAATACAGAGGAGGCAAAGTTCATAGCCTGTTTTACTATGGTACATTGAAGGACAGACCCTACAGGCATAAAGGGGAAAGAGCTATACATCCTGGCATCTAGTGCAGAGTCTTAAACATGTAAAAAAGCATTCAATAAATACTTGTAGAATGAGTGAATTTTCAAAATCCTTTCTTGTGTAAGATCAATCAAGCTTCAAAGATAAACAGTAATGAACACTCAAACTGAACCACATATATTGCACCAGTAGAATATGATAAGCAAGTATTTTTGTATATCCAAACCTGCTTTTTCAGCTTAGGCACTATAATTTTAAGTATCTTAAATGTCAAAACAATAAGAAGCCAACTTATAGAAATGGCTATAGGTCAGCATTTGCTCTTTTAGATGTAACTTCTGCAGTTAGCAAAGCTGGTTTTACTGAAGAGATTAATCCAGGACCAAGGCAATGACTTCAACCCAATATGCTGTTATTTTGGTGGTAGAAAAAAGTCATCAGTCAAGAGACTATCAGTGCCTCTTCAGTCTGCAGTGGCAGTTCTTCCTCTCAGCCGCTCTGCGGACCACACGGGCAACCTGCTCAGAAGCTGTCCTCTCTTGGCTTGTATGATTCCTTTCCCTGTTAATCTTTTTTTCAGAAGGCTCTGGGCACGTTCCCAGAAGCCACCTACATAGGGGTGTGGTAGAGGCGGGAAGTTCAATAACCTTTGCAAACTTTTGGATAAAAGATATACAGAGAAGGCTGTGGCAAGCTAGAAACGTTTCTTGGGCAACCGAAGCACTAATTACTACTAATTAATACTCATAATCTAATTAATACTAATTAATACTCATAATCGCCCCTCGCATTAATAAAAAAGCTCATCAGCAGCCTAAAGTTTAGCAAAATCTTTCCCATCTAAAAATAGTAGACTGTAACGGCAAGCGGCTTGCAAACCAGTGAAGGGCCCTCCCACCCTCCCTCTCCAGTAGTGAATATGGTTCACATCTGAAGTGGGCAGAATGCTAGCTCCAGCCACGGCATGGTGGGTGGCTATTCTTGCAGCTCTTCGATATTCTCACTGATGTAAGGTCGCACAGCCATATAAGGATGCTCAATAACCTTGTCTTTCCTCTCATCCCAAACGATGCTGTAGAGAGCCAGTATCACAGCTGCTGTGGTGGAATATGTCTGCGCTGCTGATTTCTTCCAGACCCGCTAGCTCCACTGGCTGTCTGTTCCCTCGTGGGTGAACAACCTCTTGAAGGCTGTCCATCTTTATATTGTAAATAAAAATATTGTGGATGTCTGTTTCCTCTCCAATGAAATGAGATCTCAATGACAGCCTCTAAGTTGGCTAGACTCATTGCATTTAAGCATAATAGGATAATTTGGGAAAAGAAAATAAAAAGACAACTGAAAAGTTGTGCTTTACATTTTTTGTGTTGATGTATTTTTAAAGTCTTGGGTTTTTTTTGAGTATTGGGGATTGAACCTAGGGCCTCATGGAGGGTAGGCAAGCACTCTACCTCCTCAACCATCAGATCCTAATTGGTGTGCTTCAGTGTTTCTTCACATGGGTAAGGAGGAGGAAACGAAATAAAGTGCCAAAAAGTATCTTGTTCTAGTTGTTTTCTGAGACAGCATCTCACTACGTAGTTCAGGCTGGACTTGGGACTCATTAATGTAGCTCAGGCTGGCCTCTAATGCACAATGATCCTCCTGCCTCAGCCTCCTGAGTGCCGGGATTATAGCCACACGTAGCAAAAAAGTACTTTAAAGCAAAAAGCCTCATGTTAACTATCTTGTACTCAGGTACTCACCCCAGCCTCACAACGACTGAACAAGCACATTAAGGCTCCACTCTTGAACTAATAAACAGTACAGCTGAGAAAGGCTAGAAGGTCAGATGGACCCATTCTTCAAATAGCATATCCAAATACAGAAGTCCACTTGCTGTGTCTTAAAAACCAAATTAAATATCAGGCCAGTTTAATGTGCTATTTTAAAGCACCTCTTCAAATAGCTTAGCAGGTATGATCACTGACTTCCTTCTGTGTAATACTGAGATTGGTAAAGAAACACTCTGCCAAATAAATAATTTGAGGTATTTTACCTACCACCTAGTGGTAAGCCTAGTGACAGAGTGAATGAAAATGCTGTTATACAGAACTTACCAAGAAAAAGGAATCACAGGCTATCCAAAAATCTATGTCTCAAGAAAATAATTGTTATTAATTACTTGTTTAGTTACTCCTAATAATAATTTCTACCACTGGAAGTTGAGTTTACTTCCACAAAGACATGGACGATATACTAAGATGTTAAAGAGCATAGCTATACTCCTTCCCAGGCCTATCTAATTTTGCCTTCTATCTCTTAAATTAGAATTAAACTATCAAAATTCTACCATGATCTATGAATGCTAATCAGGATAATACTCATCGTGCGTTATATTCTTTTAGGCAACACATTTTCTAGGCAACAAGTGTCTAAAGCACTCCAGGGAAGATCAATGCAAGGAAATATGGTCCCTTAAAAATCCTGATGTGTTTTCACTCATGATGTAATGATAGTGCAGATGGCTCTGCCATGGAATTCCACTGCTCCTTTATAAGACACTAGATAGTGTAGTCTTCATTATCTTATCTGGGTGTTTAGTTAAGCATCTAAAAATTAAAGGTTAGGCTAGATTACTTCACATGCCTATCTAACAGCTTTTAACTTCCCCAGAAAAGCTTCCTCCTAAGGTGAAGAACTAGACTCAAAGGTAAACAGCAATTACCAGGAAAACAAATCATTAGGAAAGCATAGCTTAGGAGTGTGTGAAGGGATCAGTCTTTTTTACTGATAAAGATTATATGAAGGGCTAATATCTTTCTCCTGGTCCACTCTTGGTTTTCTGGGACATTTTCTAAATGTATATATGCTGTCCCACTGCACACATATGTCATGGTGTGTGCAGAGATTTTTCTCTTTAGAAACTATAGGCAACATATTTCTTAGCTAACACTTAGCACTGAGCAAAACAGTGACTATCAGAAGCTAGAAATTTAACAAGGTCAACTACTAAGCAATGTGTTAGCACACTTTCCAGGATTGCTACAGCTTTTCTAACCCCTTTTCACATATTTTCCAGATTATTTATTTATTTTTGGGTTTTGCAACAGGGTCTCACTATGTAGCCCAGGCTGGCCTCAAACTCACAGCGATCCTCCCGCCTCAGCCTCCCAAGTGCTGGGATTATAGGCGTGCTCCACCACAGCCAGCTAACTTATTCTTTTGAAGACTGTACTCTCACTACTTCTCCTCAGAGAAGAGAGTACAGCAGCCAGCCCAAACAGGTGCAACACCTTTTCTTGATACTCACCAGCGATCAGTTTAATTCCCATTTTG